GAAGGGGGATCACCAAAAAAGAAAATCAAAAAGAACAAGAAGGAATGGGAAGAAGACAGCGATGAGAGTGACGACGATGACGGAGAGCAGGAATACGAGATTGATGATATCGATGATTTTGATAGTTTTATCGCGGACAGTGGCCCCGAAGTGAAGAAGACAACGGCTGAAGATAGGAGACAACGGGTTGGGCTTTTTTTTGCTCCATTCCATTTGAAGCAAAAAAATGGTTATTTGAAGTTCTACGATGAAATGTTGAATTTCAGAAAGGGAATGAAGCAGACTCGTTGAATAGTTCATTAGACGAACTGGAATCAGCAGATCAACCAGGACCGTCGACGAAACGCAAACCGACGGCATTTATCGAGTCGGATGATGACGAGGACGAAGGGAAAGACAGCCAGACTGGTGATGAGGATGGTGTGAAAGATACGAAAAAGAAAATGGATAATACGAAAAAGAAACCGTCAGCAGCAAAACCAAAAGAGAAGAAACAACCAGCAAAGAAGGTACGAATAGAAGTGCTCAATTGAAATATTTCAAATTCTTAAATTCGGTTTCTGATTTAAATCAGAGTATTTTCCATCTTATTTCGTTGAAAACATTCTGGATTTGAGAGAAATTCTGTTTGAAAAAAAGTGAATAACATGGGAAATAAGAAAAGTGATCTGAGTGAAATTTTTTAAATCTTTTACCAAATTTTATCTTCATTTTGAGATTTTGATTTATAGTTTTTCCAGTCGTGAAGAAAATCTTGGGGAACTTTGGAGAGAGAGATTAGAATTGAAAAGTAAACGATTAGATTAGAGATTCAGTGAGAACGAAGTAATTTCAGGCCAAACCAGCAAAACGTCGACTGCCATCAGAAAGTGACGCGAGTGATTTCGGAAAAGATGACTCGCCTAAGGAGAAGGGTAACGAATCTGACGAGGGCACTGCCCAGTCCCGTCGTGGAGGTGTTCGTGAGCGAAAACAGGTAAAATACGCATTCGACGAAAGCGATGAGGATAGCTATCCGGAGGACTTAGCTTGAGCGCTATGAACTTAAGCGTTTGCCTGTCTTTCGGGTGATTTTCGATTGAGTTGAATGATTGTTGATTTGTTTGTTCTTTATTACTGTAACTGTTATTGTTGTCATTTTATCAGTCTTGTTGTAATCCTCATTGTAATTGATTGATTGATTATTGCCTCACATAGGAGACATTCTGTGAAGTTATTGTGAATTGATTTATGACTAATTTATTACCTAACATTATTGATATCACTGTAACCATCATCTCACTAATTTCCTTCACATCTAACATGCCATATATAGGTCAGTGACCCTGTCAGTGTGTTGTTTTTATTGTTGGAACGTGACCGTCTCGCTCTCGTTGACATTATCGTCTTACCATAATTGATTGTTCATTTTTTAACACTTGACCTTTTCTTCACATATTCACACTGTGTAAATGTATCGTTTTGACGGAATTTATAATTTCGCAGTTCATTTTCGTATAATCGTTGGTCCACTTTTTGTGTTTTATTTGAACGTATTTCGCGAGTTGTCCAGTTTTATTTGGACACGTTGGACACTTCATCGTGTTATTCTTAATGTTTTGTTGTATTCTCATCGATATTTATTCCATTTTTGAGATTTTGAGTGTTCTCATCAAATCATTATGAGATATTGTTGCTGTTTTCAAGGAGCTTCTCACAATATGGCTCATGGGGACCTCTTTACTGATGAAAAATCTCGTTTCGTCTCTCATTTTCCTCGTTCTTGTGCTCTTACACTCATTAATAAGAATTTGCAATATTCCTGAAGAATTTCCCATTTTCTCATTTTTCTAATGCAAATTTCCCGAGANTGTGTGTGTAACAATTTCCCTTGAATATCTCATTATTGTTCAGTTTTAATATTCATTGATATGGTCACTATTAAGTTGATTATTACTGATATAATTATTGTTATTATCTTGTGAATATAATCATCATTATAAATGATTGTTGCTGAATGATTACCTGTATCTTTTCTTTAGTAAGTTTTTGATCGAATAAATTCATTGTGAGTCAGTTATATTCCACTCAGAATTGAAGTCAGATCTTTAACAGAGTGATATTTCATAATGATTATTTCATTTTTCGTTTACTTCCATACGAATAACATTAATAGCAATAGTATAATCGCAAACAACGACAACAACAGTTATAGATATATGTACAACGTGAAATCAATCAGGAGCAGTCGAGAACTCAACATATCAGAGGTTATATCAGCTGACAATATCACTACATGCACAGTCAGGTTATCTTACCAAAAGTATTCCTGTTCTCAGATATCTGGTTCATTTCATCCACTTCCAAATGCAAAAGTCACCTCATACTTTCAACCACCGTCGTCGATCTTCACAAATCTTCCTAAATGTATGGAACTTCACAATATTCATTGAGAATTTGAAATTTT